CACACACACACACACAAATATATATGCTCTCAGACAAAGCAGATTTCTTCCACAACACAAACATGGGGGTAGTGGGAATGCTGAAAATCCCAACACTAATCTTTGTACTCTTGGGCTGAAGATGCCCTGGGAACAATGACTCGCTAGTCAGGCCTACATGTCCCAGACATACTATATGGCCTGGGCTTTAAGTAGCCCCATTATTTCTAGAAGTGATCCCCTAGATTCATATATTTTCACTGAAATTAGGAACTAGATATCAAGGGTAAAGTAGGCCTGTGTTGGGCCTAGGCTGTCCCTTCTCAGAGTGCACTCTCAGAGGAGCAGACAGGGTTCTCCCATTGCCAGCTCCTCCTTCACAAGTACTTTAAATATCCATGCTATGCACTAGGTTACAGTTTGCATTCAACCAGGACATTAGCATCCCACTCAGACATTTTAAACTGACACTTTTTCATTGTCTGCATTCATTTTAGTAAGTTATGAGAACTGTTATCAAATTCCACACATGGAACCTTGTACATTAATCATATTCCCCTCCACTTCTCTCTCCCACTGCTATTATTTCCTCACTTCCTTTCCCCTCCTCCTGGTCAATTTCCCCAGTATCCTCTTATTTCTAACAGTACATGACAGTTTTGGAGAGAAGCTTTAACTCTTTGATTTTTTTAATTATATTTAATAATCTATGCTTTTACCACCCTGAGAATTCAACCTAGGGCTTCAGGACTGCTAAGGAAACACTATTACCCAGCTGTACAACCTGTTTCTCCCTCCCTTTCTCATTTTAAAAGTAGTTTGAGAGAACATAAAAGCCTCAGGATATGGTTCCTTCTAACCTCCACTTACTAGAGGACTACCTTAACCCTCCAGGTACCTCCCTCATATAGCTCTCTCTGACTCCCAAGTACTTGGCTTGGCTACTCTAAGCATCACAGTATTTTAAGTTTCCCACTGATTCATAAGCACTGACATTAGCTACTCCAAACCTCAAAGTATCTCATACTTACAGCTCCATCTGACTCCTACGTGCTGGGCATGGCTACCCTAAGCTGCATAGTGACTCTCATTTAAGATTCCCCCTGAATTCCAAGTGGAGGGCCTGGCTACTCTAAGCCTCACAGTACATCCCTCTTATGGCTCCATCTGACTCCCAAGTGCTGTGCAGGACTACCCTAAGTCTCATGATATCTACAGTTTATCCTATGACTCCCAAGTGCTGAGCATGGCTACCTGAAATTATGCTTCATCCAACACCTACCTGCTGGAAACGGCTGCACAAAACCTTATACTACCTCCCTATTGTGGCTCCCCCTGACATCCAAGGGCTGAGCTTGGCTATCCTAAGCCTCTCCTCATCCCCCACCCTTATGCCACCCACCAACTTCCACAAACTGACCATGGTTACCCTAAATCTCACAGTACCCCCCTCTTATGGCTCCCTGTGACTCCCACATTATGGGCATGGGACACAAAGCACTCAGAGTTCCCTCTGATTTCCAAGTGTAAGGCATGGCTACTCTAAAACTCATGTTATCTCCTGCTTAAACTCTCAAGGGTTGGAGATGGCTAGTCTAAATTATCATTAGTCTGACCCACACCTACTGGCCATGGCGATTCTAAATCTCTGGTATCTCCATCTTATGGTACTCTCTGACTGCAACATGCTGGGACTGGCTACCCTAAAGGTCATGGTACCTTCCTCTTGTATCTCTCACTAAATGCCACATGCTGGGCATGTCCATCTTAAGCTTTATAGTATCTCCTTCTGAAGATTCCTTATGACTCCCAAGTGCTAGGCATGGCTGCCCTAAGTCTTACCCTCAGACTCCCAAGTGTTGTGCTCAGTGACCTGAAATTATGCTTCCTCAGACCCTTACCTTCTGGGAATTGAGCACAAAAAACTAAAGCTACCTCCATCTTATGGCATTCTCTGACTCAAAAGGGCTGGGCATGGCTACACTAAGCCTTTCCTTATATCCCTGCTTATGGCTCCTTCTGACTGCCACATACTGGGTGTGGTTACCACCAACCTCCTGGTACTTCAACATTATGGCTCCCTCTGCATCCCACAAGCCTAGCATGGCTATCTTAAACCTCATAGTACCTCCCTATTAAGGTTTCCTCCGACTCCAAAGTAAGGGAAGGCATGGCTACTTGAAATTATCGTTCCTCTGACCCCTACCTGCTGGGCATGTCTATGCTAAATTTCTTGGTACCTCCCTCTGACTCTCACTTGCTAAGCTTGGCTAAATTAAGACTCATAGTTTCTCCCTCTTCTTGTTCCCACTGACTCCCAAGTGTTATTGATGGCTACCATAAGTCTCATGGTATCCCCTGAACACGGATGGCTACCTGAAGGGCTGTGAGGTCCATTCAAAATTGTCATTCCTCAAACCACTACCTGCTGGACATGGCTACTCTAAACCTCCTGGTACCTCCCTCTTATAGCTCCCTCTGAATCTACATGCTGAACATAGCTACCCTAAATGTCATGGTTCCTTCCTTTTATATCTCCCTCAGAATGCCATGAACTTGGTGTGGCTACCTTAACTCTCATAGTACCTCCCCCTAAACGTTTCTTCTGACTTCCAAGAGCTAGGTATGGATACAATTATTCTTATGTCATCTCCATTTTATGGAGATTGAGCACATAAAACTCATGCTCAAATGCATTAATCCCAAATGCAAGGCACAGTCATGTGAAATTATGATTCCTCAGAACTCTACCTGATAGGCATTGCTGCCCTAAACCTCATGATACCTCCCTCTTATTGCTCTCTCTGACTCCCATGTGATGGGCTTGGCTACTTGATGATATGCTAAATAGGATACCTAAATGCTGAGCATGGCTAAGATAAATGTCATGGTATCTCCCTCTTGATTCCCACTTACTAGTCTAGGCTACTTTGAGTTTCATAGTCTCTCCCTCTGTAGACTCCTCTGATTTCCAAGTGCTAGGCATGGGTAGAGTAAATCTCATGGTATCTCAAATCTATATTGACAAGGGCGTGGCTATTCCATTATGACTCCATGGACCCCTACATGCTGGGTGTGTTTATTCTAAACCGCCTGGTACCTCCCACTCAATGTTGTCTCCTAATGCG